AAATATTAGTATATTCTCCTCCTTGGTAGCAAAGTTTCCTCTGAAAGTGTTACTGATTTTTATGAACTATATTAGGACCTTGACTAATGGTGACAGGTGGACTGATCAAGTTATTTTATGAAGATCTGCAGGGTAGACACGATGGTGTTAATTTTACATTTTCATCAATAATTCGACGGACAGAACTGAAAGTACATTCATTATATTTTTGGACAACACTGTTTGGTAAGTGGAATAACCTCCTGGGAAACAAGTAATATCAAAGTTACTTTAGTAAATTAAAAAAAGTTAGTACAGGGATACAATGTAATATTATTCAGCAATAAAAAGAAATGAAGTACTGACAACATGCTGCAGCATGGGTGAACCCTGAACCTTATGTGAAGTGAAAGAAGTCAGCCATGAAGGACTGCAGAGTGTACGATTCCATTTAAATGAGATATCCAAAAGAGGCAAACCCAGAGACAGAAAGTAGATAAGTAGTTGCCTATGCTGGGGAGGATGGTGGAATTGGAGAGCGACACTAAGGAAACCAGGATTAATTTTTGGAGTAATGGAAATACTTTAAAATTGACTGTGGTGATGGTGCACAGCTCTGTGACCAACTAAAAGCCAGTGGATTGTACCCTTTAAATAGGTGATTGTAGAGTGCGTGATTATATCTCAGCAAAGCTGTTAAGGAGCCCTAATACGCAGTGCTTAGAGCTTGGCTGCTAACCGAAAGGTCGGCAGTTTGAATCCTTGGAAACCCTATGGGGCAGATCTACTCTGTCCTTTAGGATTGCCGTGAGTCAGAATTGACTTGACGGCAACCGGTTAAAGCTGTTAAAAGAAAAAAAGTGCAGAGGATTACACCCATGGTGAGGAGGAGGAGGGAACTCACAAATTTGCCATGTCGATATAAAAATCGCACCACAAAATAATACTCAGAGCCTTCCTTAAATTCTATCTGGGGACAAAGGAGGATATAAACAAATAACTGGTAATCCATCCCTTAAATGTAAACAGCCCTTCTTCGTCTATCTATCTACACATATATATATATGTCATCTAATTTATTGACAGACAAGTGTACTAAAATCAGCCGACTGTCTAATGAGGACACACAAAGGGATAGAGAGTGGCTGGTGGGTTCCAATCACCACCCTTTCGGTTAGCAGTCGAGGGCTTAGCAACGGCACCACCAGGTATACAGGTAAGTTCATATGGGTAAGTTAATTTTAAAAACATTTCACAATAATTACTGCCTTTCTTTTTTTAAGTGATCATTTGCTTGCCCACTTCTAACATCAGTGTTCAGAGTACTGGAAGAACCCGCTCCACTCCCAACAATCCAGAAGACATACATACTTGGAAATGTTCACCTGGAGGAACTGTCAGCACCTACCTCCAACAACCCCTACGCCCACACTGCTCCTCCTCGTGTTCATTGGGGCTACGTGAAACCACTCGTTGGACTTGATGTTATACGCCTCCACAGACGACAGACCTATGGTAAAGCACAGCACTCTTCATTTCCTCCTCGAAAGAAGTTGACTTGTTCTTTCTTATAGACACGTTTTCTTAAAGGAGAACACTTCAGGTGTGTTCAATCAGGCTAAACCTAAAAGACGATAACGGTGGAATGTACACCTATCGATTAGACGGTGAACGGGAGTAGCTTCTTTTCCAAAGGGCTCCTCCCAAGCTACTGACATTTAGTAGCTTCTGAAACTGGCGAGATGGCGGATACTGACGGTTAAGAAAGAAAATGTGTATAATTCAGACTCTTACATCATTAAAGGAATTCTTGATGCGATTTTAAACTTATCTTTAAATATAACGCCTGTTAAAACAGTCAAATGTCTCCTAATCTTGCCACCATTTGTTCCATAAACATAGTTACTGTGTCAGTCTAAGAGCAGTGTAGTAAAATTATTTCAACATAATAGGTCTGTTTGTGTATATAAAAAATTAATACAAATAAAAGATCAATACAAATATTCATACCATATATGATCAACAAAAGGCTACTGTCCTTAATGTGATAGTTAATTTATGACTCCGTTTGGCTAGGTCAAACACTCACTAGATGTTGCTCAGCATAGTTACATGTGGTTAACATTTAAATCGTTGGCCTGAAGTAAAGCAGACTACCCTCCATAACGTGGGTGGGCCTCATTCAGTCAGTTGAAGGCTTTCATTTCCTACGGGAGAATTCTGCCTCCAGACCATAAACAGACATTCTGCCAGAACTCCTCTGCTCCTCTACCTACAGACCTCTGGACTTGGGACACAAGACGGACAGAATTTCTAGCTTGGTGCATGACCTACAGATTTTGGACCTGCTGGTCCCATATTACACGAGCCAGGTCCTCAAACTCTCTCTCTCTCTCTATATATATATATTATACCACTCATCTGTCAGTTTGTCATATTGTGGGGGCTTGTGTGTTGCGGTGATTCTGGAAGCTATGCCACCAGTATTTCAAATACCAGCAGGGTCACCCATGGTAGACAAATTTCAGCAGAGCTTCCAGACTAAGACAGACTAGGAAGAAGGAAATTGGCCAGTGGAAACCTTACAATTAGCAGCGGAACATTGTCAGATACAGTGCCGGAAGATGAGCCCCTCAGGTTGGAAGGCACTCAGAATACAACTGAGGAAGAGCTGCCTCCTCAAAGTAGAGTCAACCTTAATGACACGGATGGAGTCAAGCTTTTAGGACCTTTATTTGCTAATGTGGCATGACTCAAAATGAGAAGAAACAGCCACGAACATTCATTAGTAATTGGAACATGGAATGTACAAAGTATGAATCTAGGAAAACTGAAAATCGTCAAAAATGAAATGGAACGCATAAACATTGATATCCTAGGTGGTGGTGGTGTTTTTGTTACGTGCCATCCAGTCGGTTCCGACTCATAGCGATCCTAAAGGACAGAGTAGAACTGCCCCATACGGTTTCCAAAAAGCAGCTGGTGGATTCGAACTGCCGACCTTTTGGTGAGCAACCCAGCTCTTAACTATTGCACCACCAAGGCTCCATCCTAGGCATTAGTGAGCTGAAATGGACTGGTATTGGCTATTTTGAATCAGAAAATCATATGGTCTACTATGCCAGAAATGACAGCTTGAAGAGGAATGACGTTGCATTCATCATCAGAAAGAACATTTCAGGATCTATGCTGAAGTACAACACTGTCAGTGTTAGAATAATACGCATAAGCCTACAAGGAAGACCAGTTAATACAGTCATGGTTCAAATTTACACACCAACCACTAAGGACAACGATGAAGAAACTGAAGTTTACCAGCTTCTGCAGCTGAAATTGATTAAGTTAAAAATTGCTCCTGAAAAATCAAGTTTCATGATTTTCCATTTGGAAATCTTGGTA